GCCTAAACGTGTCAGGTGAGCACCTAAAATTTTCTATAGCACAAAGGGTGCAACTTGCTCCTTACCGGTCTTTTAATATATTTTTAAACTTAAACCTCCAGCCACCCTTGAGCGAGCCTATTCCCATTGTTGTTGATATGCAGTTATCCGTACATCTACATACGAATTTATTTGTTTTCGTTTGGTAAACATTTTACATACATTTTTTTTTCCTTTTTCAGACAAAACAAGTCACACTTGAACGGTTTTAACCTTTTCTGCAAAGAGATCGCTAGAGTAGACGGTGGGTTCGTTTTCTTACGTTCTTATGATGGAATCTTGGTCACTTATAATAAAACATGAATAGCAACTCTGTCGTGCCCCGAGTCGACGATGTTAAAAACGGCGTGTTTGGTAGCGAGAATTCGTTATTGAGAAGAGGTTTGCGATTTTTGGACAAAATTGTAATTTTTCTTTGAACGATTTTTTACAGAACAAATAAAAGACATGACCTTTGAAGAGAGGAATTCTTTCCTTGCTGAGAGGTGGCGTGAGCTTCCAGAGGACGAAAAGGAGGATTTCAATAGCAGAGTACTCTCAGATGAAGTTGTTTCTGATAAAGAGCAAATAAATAGGACACTCAAGAAAGTTAAACGGGAGGTAAAGCAATTTTAAAATGTTTCGTAAATTCACCAATAAACTTGTTAAAATTTCTTCTGTTCCTTGTCTTTTTATTTTTCAGTGTCAAAACCTAAAGGATTTAGGTGTTAAGTGTCTTTTTATTTGCGACACTGGCAACGGAAGTATGGACGTTCTTGGCCATCCAAGGGCAATACAATTCGTAGAGAATTTCCGGCTGGCTCCAAAGTTTTACTCGTTTGTCAATGGCGAAGGTCAGTTCAGTTCAGTTCATTTCAACGTGATTTGAGATCTCTGATCAATCTACGAAATGTCGCAATGTTTAACAGTCATAATTTTGTCACCTGTTATTTCGGTTTTGTCAGGAGCATCCGGAGGAGAAAGGATAACGACGTCCTCCCGATCGGAAAAGGAAGACTTGCGTCGCCAAGTAATTGACCTCTTCAACAGGAAATACAGTAAGTTACTTTTCCTTAAAGCTCTCTGCTCGGTATGTGTTCCATCGTTACCAAACCCAAGTATAAATATCAAGTACAACGGTGAGCTGTACTTGATGAAGAATGTCTTACGTTAAACAAACGTTTCCGTATATTTTTCGTGGAAAAGTTATCGGCACGTAGTCGTTTACATTATGAGAAAATTTTAGCGTTAGATTTGTTTAAATTTATGGATGGAAAGTTGGTGTTTCTTTTTTTTCTTTCCTACTCTCTTTCTTTCTTTACTTCTTTCGTTTATTCGTTCTTTCGCTCATTAATGCATTCATTCTTTTTGTTTATCATTTAATTGTTTATTTATTTTGTTTATTTATTTATTACAATTCAACCGTACATATGGTAAATAATTACATATCTTTAGGGATGTTTAAGCGCCACTTACTCTAATTNCAAAACCTAAAGGATTTAGGTGTTAAGTGTCTTTTTATTTGCGACACTGGCAACGGAAGTATGGACGTTCTTGGCCATCCAAGGGCAATACAATTCGTAGAGAATTTCCGGCTGGCTCCAGAGTTTTACCCGTTTGTCAATGGCGAAGGTCAGTTCAGTTTAGTTCATGTCAACGTGATTTGAGATCTCTGATCAATCTACGAAATGTCGCAATGTTTACCAGTCATAAATTTTGTCACTTGTTATTTCGGTTTTGTCAGGAGCATCCGGAGGAGAAAGGATAACGACGTCCTCCGGATCGAAAAAGGAAGACTTACGTCGCCAAGTAATTGACCTCTTCAACAGGAAATACAGTAAGTTACTTTTCCTTAAAGCTCTCTGCTCGATATGTGTTCCATCGTTACCAAATCCAAGTACAAAAATATCAAGTATAACGGTGAGCTGTACTTGATGAAGAATGTTGTACGTTAAACAAACGTTTCCGTATATTTGTCGTGGAAAAGTTATCTGCGCGTAGTCGTTTACATTATGAGAAAATTGTAGCGTTAGATTTGTTTAAATTTATGGATGGAAAGTTGGTTTTCTTTTTTTCTTCCGTACTCTTTTTCTTTCTTTCCTTCATTCGCTCATTCGTTCTTTCGCTCATTAATTCATTCATTATTTTTATTTATCGTTTAATTGTTTATTTATTTTGTTTATTTATTTATTACAATTCAACCGTACATATGGTAAATGATTACATATTTTTAGGGATGTTTAAGCGCCAGTTAACTCTAATTGAGACCGAAAAAGCAAAATCACGATAGGGTTAATGGGGTTTTTAATCTTGCCTAGCAGCCTTTGTCCGCGGCAAGGATGTGAGGTCAAAAGTCTTTCACTCCGCTTGTATTTTCCAGGTGAGGCATGCGGAAAGAGTGACAGGAGAGTCCCATATAAGGACATTAAGTGCAATAAAATTTCTCTTTTGGTGGAAAACATGGGTTCACTGTCCTTAAAACACCCATCAGGCTATGGAGTGGGTAATTTGAAGAAAATAATAGCGGCTAAAAACGACATTATCTTCAAACTTACCGCTCCAAACACGCCCATACCACCACAGACGATTAGTTNAAAACACCCATCAGGTTATGGAGTGGGTAATTTGAAGAAAATAATAGCGGCTAAAAACGACATTATCTTCAAACTTACCGCTCCAAACACGCCCATACCACCACAGACGATTAGTTCCACAATACCGTTAACGCATACCACTGTGACACCTCCAATAAGCGCCAACACCACAATCATAACCACCAACGCTCACCCATCCAACAGGACAACATCGGCTAACTCCATCAACACAGTTGCAAACGCAATACAATCCTCCACCACACTAACAACCATCATCGACAATACACTACAGGAAAACAACACTAGTACTCCAACAGCTAGCACCGCACAGCCAAGCACCACACCATCAAGCACCACACTTCCAAGCACCACATCTGTAAGTGCCATACTACCAAGCACCACACCATCAAGTACCACACTTCCAAGCACCACACTGCTAGTCACTGCAGCACCAGGCACCGCACCATCAGGCAACACACTACAAAGCACCGCACCTCCGAGCACCACACCTTCAAGCATCACACCATCAAACATCACACCATCATTAAGCATCACATTATCGGATAACACCAACATCGTATCCACCAGCATAGCCACTACCAATACCAGACGTTCCACTAAAAAGAGGAAAGCGACGCAGAGTTTGGAGAAGAGTAAGGATGATACAGAGGATGAAAACTGTGAAGCGGGTCTTTGCCAGCTGGTTCCTGAAAGGAAAAAGAGGAGAGATGAACGGGGTGAAAACCAACAAAATTGGGTTTACTGCGAGGGCTGCTTTAAATGGTTTCATTTTGAATGTGTTGGAATAGAGAGAGTTCCGGATGGACCGTACTTTTGCGGTTGCAAGACGAAAGAACTTAACCCGTCGTGAGTGTCTGATACTTTTTTCTTATCGCCCACTAAACGTTTCACATCTTTTGCGAGTTGTCAGATGAAAGCTCTGCTTTCTTAACCAACTTGTATTTCTTTTTATTGTCAATCAGGAATTATGATCCATCCGGAATGTCACTTTTTCAATCTCCGGAACTCGCAGGTTTGAAGGTAGTATCCACAATCCAATTAGGGTGTTATTAGCAGACTTCCCCTGTCTTTTTCAAATAGAAACAAAATCAAGCCTCGATTCCTCCAAATCGTCAATCGTTATGATTCATTAAATGCATCAAATAGTTGTGCACCAGTCTTTCTCTATCTGGGTTATGGTTTTTAGGGTCATTCCACTGAAATAGAACCTGCACTGAGATTTTTGCGAAACTTTGCCTATTGATTGTTTATATTATAGAAACTTAAATTTTGCAATAAAGATGAGGGGTCCCCATGTTCGTTTAGGAGCGACAGCACCTTGTTTATACCCATATAAATCCTTATAATAGCATCATGATTGTAGTCACGATTGCTTGCTAAATTCACGTTTCCGACGATTGCTTTTTATCCTACACTGAGAATTGGTCCATATTTATTTTACACAGAGAAATTTATTACTCAATTCAAAACAACAGAAAAAAAATGATAGGTCACCATATTCGTTTGCGAGAAAATGACGATTTACCTCTATGGCGAGATCCAGCTGTAAACAAAAAGCCGCCACTTTTTAATGCGCGCGCGCTAATCACGCGTGAAATCATGCGCAATAGGGATGCGCAATGCAATACTGGGGAATGACCTTAAGGGGCTCTAACAATTGTATAATATAAAAATCTATTCACAGGACCACCTTAAGAATATCCTTTACGGGAACACCGCCAGCGCTAGGCATGCCCTTTTTTAACGCCAGAAAGGAACATGAAGTTCTGATACACAGTTGTGACTGTATCAGTTATTTTACCGGGTCAAAGGTATGTGCTAAATTGTTGATAGTAGCTGTCTTTTTTTGTTATCACTGAGTTAATTTACTCATTCGTGGAGTGTTTCGCTTATTATCGTGTTAATGATTATGATTACAGTTGTGATTGTAATTCAAGCACTCCTTAAAAAGTGTTGTAATTCTCTTTCCTTGGACAGATCAGAAGATTTACTAATGAAATAAAGTCATTTTCGCCGAACATTTGGTCAGACTTTAAGCCAACCAACACCAGGATGATGAGCTACCTCATGTCCGTCTTAGTTCCTGAGGTAAGTTAGTCCTTCCTTTTTTTACCAGATACTGCTTATCTAGTCACCTCTCTGTACCACCCACCTATCTCTCAACCTTTTCAATACCTGCTCTCCTACCCGCCTTACCAGCCTAATACCTCGCTTACCTATAGCTGTTTTCGTTATTAGAGATTTCCTGTAGTTACCCTCTACCTATTCTCTGATGTACCTTTGTGAAATATTTACTTGTTTGTGATAAGGCAAACGTCGATAATTTTTATGAACACCATATTGCAGTTTCACTATTTTTCTTCGTTATTATTCTTGATTACCATAGGCATTGATTTATATGGTTACGATTAAAGAAGGTTGCTCAAGATAAACCGCGGAGAAGTTATTTGCAGTAAATCGAAAGGCAGCAGATGCAGGACAAGATAACAATCGAAGCGAGGAGACTGATTCGGAATAATATCACGAAATGTTTGTTACTCCATTGCACTTTGCTGTATGTTATGATTGAACATTAAAGAGATGAAAATGTAACTTTAAACGGTATACGTTTTTCATGTTATTTTGATTTGCAAACGATTTTGGTTTTTCAAGAGTAAACTTGTAAATAAAGGTAGCCACACCCCAACACAGAACTCTGAACTTTATTTCTTAGACTTACTTCCACGAAGAATAACGGTGTAGAGCATATACCCCCTAGTATAGTCTGGGTACGAAGCAGGAGATCCTGTAATGCGCGCTTTCATGTGCGTTACCTGTCCGAAATTTTATATTGGTGAAAAATAACTACAATGCAATACGCTGGCGGGAAAAGCATTGTAAACAGATTGATGTCAGAGAAATGAAATACCTTCAAGGCCTCCATGGGCTTTAATAACTATGCAGACCGACGCAATTGGTGTTTTCAGTTTTTCGTATGTCTGAGATTGCACTAACTGAAAAACACCTCAATAACCCTAACTGATCTGAAGAACGATAGTGGTCCAACAGTACATATAGGCTGGCTTGGAGGGAAAGGGGTCCTTAAGGAAAGTTTGGTGGGGCCGGGTTTGCCGAGGCCCTCAAATCCTGTCACTGTTTAACAAAATATCCGTTCATTTCGATATCTTTTTTTAAGAAAAGAGACCTTTATTCGTGACCCAGATTTGCTTTTCAGTCAACGTACAGAAACTGTTTTTATTTATAACTGACATCACAGAATTGTATTAAAAAAAATTGTTGGTATCAAGGCTTCCGGTCCAGAAACACACCCTG